GACTTTTTTCAAGAACCATATCTCTCACTATTTTAATATTTTCTTCAATTAAAGAGATCAATGGTCCTTCAGAAGGAGGGATGTATTCACTGTCGACCCTCTCTAAAATTCTTTCTTCTGTATTTTTGTAATGTAAAAAATTGCAAAGCACTTCTGAAGTGTACATGATTATATATAAATGTGTCACATTTAATATATTGGATATATGATTTAAAAGCCAATCAAATATAATGAAGGTCTCTTCACTTTCATTTATATTTACAGATAAAACAACATAATTATAAAGAACATGTTCACTTAACTTCATTACAGTATAACATATTAACTTTGGCGAGTTATCACACTTTTAATTTTTCAACATAACCGTTATGTGAAGCGTTGGCGAAGTTATCATCTAATTTCAGCGACTTTAACTTCTTCATACGACAGGGTCATCAAACGTACACGGGGTTTTTACTAGATTCAGAAAATATTAGTACTTGAGCAGATTATACTTAGACTTACTTTACTGTTTTATCATTTATTAGTTTTTGGGGTAAACAACGTCTTTAAAATTAGCATAATAATAGCAGATTGCTTAAATTTCCTGTTTTATGTACATATATAAAAGCTTGGAAAAATGTCGGAATTGGCTTTTTCGAAAATTTTTAAATGTGAAAGGGAAATTGTCAGTGTAATAGAGTATGTGTGATAATTAGGAGAAGGTCCCCACTCTTCTTTTAACACGACGAAAATTTCAATTTTAAATCTAATTTTTGGTGTGTAAGTTACTAAGTCTTTTGATCTGCTTATAGCTCAATATTGAATGTAAACGAAACAATTTAGAACACTTTCTAAGAATATTATGAAGCATGAATTATCATACGAAAGTTGACGAGATCTAAACTATAATTTCTTTAAGACTCATTATATAAGACTCGAATCTATCTATTTGTATCGAATATGTCTTTAAAAATATCAACTGGTGGGTGTGGCAGTGTCGCGATACTACCAGTGTGCGAATCAGAACTGTATATTGTGGCAGATCATATGTGTTTCAAGTTGAGTTCAAGTAATCTATAGGTAAATAAAGAATTCAAGATAAGTATAGAGGTCTGTCCGTCATCTTGAATATTTGAATATTGTTACAAATACAACATTACAGCTACAAATATCCCTGAGTCATGTGTAGTGGTAGTATTAAATGGTTCTGAAAGCAAACGATGAGCTGGTCGTGGGCTTTTCATATACCAGATGTATGTAAATGCAAATATGTTATATGCACATATATATTATATTATATATATTTGTATGATATTGTATATAGTTCCTGTCGCTTGGTACATTTTAGAAAACCTTTGTGTTTGTTGTTCAAGCTTTTTCAGTCGTTTGCATTCAATAAGCTCGCTCTGATTTATTCGCTGTCAGATTGGCAAAGATGCTTTTAAAAAAGACAACAACAACAATTTTATGAGCCAATCATAACCGCTTGTCGGCAAACTCACTTAGCGGTACGCAAATATTAAAACGTGCTTATATGGGTTCATATGTACGTATGTTGTTGTATCTGTGCAGTCGGGTGCATGCATTTGCTCACATTCGCGTACTTTGTAAACACAGAGATTAGTGGCTCAGATTATTATAATTACACTTAATCATATACTCGTATGTGGAATGAGTCGTGCTTGCCATATTTTCAAAAAGGAACATATAATAAATGAAATGAAATATCAAAAAAAAAAAAAAAAAAAAAAAAAAAAAAAAACGCTCGTGAATGTTCTGTACAAATACGTGCATATATTCATATTTATATAAATTCACTTTTTCATGTTTTGCAAAAATAATTATTGGCCGCGAGCCACTGGTCGATTTACGAGATACTTGATCAAAGCAAACAAATCATTTCTCAGCTGCGTAGGTGTTTGTGGTTTCAACTGATACAAATGGTGGTTGCTGTACAGCGCAGCCCCCAACCATGCCACTTCACTTCGTATTAGTCAATTCTAATCATAATTATGTCAAAGTGAGTTTTTCAAGTAATTATACTTGATTTATTGTTTTCCTAAGTCAAAGCAAGCGTGGTTGTTGCAGATTTTTTTCTCACAACTGTCATTAATTGCTTGTAAAACCTACACGCAAGTGTAAAGATCCTTACCACCAATTACTACGAATGATTAAGTTGGAATTCCCTAATTCCGTGGTACTACAGTTTTTCTCCTCGCACAGCGAAATATCTAGGGGTCAAGATCGATACCAAACTGAACTGGAAAATGAATACTGAGAAAAGATTAAGCAAGTACGTAACAAGATAATATTCAGTAAGGATTACGGCCTAAAACCGAATATAGGCATATGAGTGTGTACGGCCGTCAGTAGATCAATTCTTACATATGGGACACTGGGTTTGGTGGCCAGCTTTAAATAAACAATATAATATCAGAAACTTTAATGGAATACGAAGGCCAGCCTGGAAAGGAATTTCCGGGGATATTAGATATTAGTAGATTGGTGATTGAAACAAGAAGAATTACTGACTTAACGATATTCTAAATCAACTCAAAACAAATGTAAATAAATCGTACGCCGAAATCACGAGCTTCAATTTCAGACATCAAATAGACGGTTATTATAACGCGATAACTGTCGCTATTGACGGTTACGTTCTCAACGCATCATTTTCGAACGTCGGATCTTTTTGGAACTTTTCGAGAGTCCATAGAGTGAGGCGATGTGGCTTGCGAAGGACCGGCTTCAGTTCTAGCATAAACTCTATTTGTTACGTTTTCAATTTAAACTCTCGACGCAAAATGCGTCCAGTCGTTCCGTAGGTTAGTCCGAGTTGCTGCGCCGGTACCCCCGTTCTTCATGTACACTCTCAGCTATGACTGACTTTAAGATGGGTGATGGTGTTGCGTATATTACGCTCAGTAAGCCAATTATGTTGACCATAAATTGAGCGAACGCGCGAACATATTCTTTACAGAACGTCAATTTTCTTTAAAAGGCTGACGACTTGTAAACGTTGTTCATTAATTTGAAAACATATCCATTGTCCAATTGACTTTAAAATTTGATAGCGAAAAGTTTAGATAATGCGACACTCTAATTTTCCTCCAGTGCAGCTTATCGGCACGTCCTGATTCTCACATCTATCACACGGAATTTATTTATCTTCTCTTAGGCAGCGATGGAATTCTGTTGTAGCCCAAAACCTGTAGTTCTTCGTTTTCCCACAAACTCGTTTATTTTAAGGATTTGGACCCCGCTAAACTCTAATGCTCTATTAAATAATGACATGGGTGCGTTTGGCTCGAAGTTTGTTTTCGAAAAGAAGGCTCATAATGGCTTGATTTTTACTATTTTCTACCGTTCCACTGACCCCGTAGATGATGAGCGCCTCTATCAAGCGTCATTTCAAAGTTTCATTAGATGCTGCCGCTGCTTTGAACTCTGTCGACTTCTGCTCGCGTTCTAGCTTCTTGGCTGCGTCAACTTTCCACCACTTTCTGTTTTTCGAGGGTGTCTTCGGGAGGTTTTCTGTTGAACGCTGCTTATTTCTAGTCATATGCTCTTCAATAGGATTCGCAAACGCTGGATCCGAGGTACGACAGCAGTTTGGTCTGGCGTAATTAACCGTTCCACCTCCACTTCAATGTGGACTAACCCTCGCGTCAGTTACATATCCTGACCGGCGCCTTATATGACGCTTTTACTTTCAATGCCTTCTTAATTGGCTTCTTCCGGGGCCTCTTCTGTTTTCAGAGTTGGTAGCCTTACTGTCTTTGTACGCTCAGCACTTTTTTGATGCCAGCCTTAATGGATTGTGTCATCGGTGTGCTGTAAGTTGGCTTGTCATAGTACTATAACCATCGCAATCTGTTTCCGTTGCAATGAAGGTGTGACCGCTGGCAATACAGCATGCATAATCGCTATGCCCGGTAGCGACCTCGATTTCCAATGATGTGTGGACCCAGTTCGCTTCTTCTCTTCAATGGCTGCCATTTTAAACATTGTATTCTGGGGTTTGTATCTTTAACGCTTTATACCTAACAGATAACTCATTAGCAATGTCTATTTTATTCCCTCATTCACTTCTTTCTGAACTTGCTTAAAAAGCAGTCCTCCATAGGGAGATAAATCAGAAAATATACCAATATTCGCTGATTGACGCCTGAATGCAATGTCTTGACTACAATCAGCTTGAGGCCATGACATTACAAGCAGCGAAACCCAACACACGACACAACAGCTTAGAAGAATTTTGGCCGAACTGAAAAAGCTTAGAAGTAATTTGAGGTTGGCTTCATATATTCATTTAATGATATTAATTTTAATAAAGTGTTTGATTTTTGAAGATGTAAGTCAGAAAAAGAATGATGAAACCAGCAGTGTCAATACGTAATTTTTACAATCAACAATTCCAAGAGGAAAACGAAATTGGTTGCTAAGGGGTCAGTAGGGTAATCTGTCCTGTTTTTTTACATTTTTTTCATAGAAATTTTTATTCTACAAAAGAACTTTTTTCACATATCATGAGGTATATCGTGGGGTGTATAAATAAAATTTTTCGGAATTTTTCGATGACATCTCTCGGAGGAATGGTTGGGTGAATGAGATGCGTTTTTTCACTGGCGGACGTTTGGATCATCTGAAACACAACATTGTGAACATTAAAAAAATTAAGCAAATCGATTGAGTAGTTCGACCGAAATCATGTAACCAGTTTAAAAAAGTGTGTTTTGAGAAAAAGGCGTTTAAAGTTTGAGGTGTGCACTCCGAGCGTTCCGAACGTAAAATGGGTTTCTACATTAATTCTAAAGGTGTAAGGTTTGCTTCCAACAACGTCAAAATTTTTGTTACGACGACCAGAAAATATTTTTAAACCACTTTCATCTTAAATATGTATAAACGCTCCTTTTAATGGGCTGTAAATAATTATTATATAAATAATTTTGTATGTACATAACTAACTTCTAAACGGGAAAATAACATGTGTGCTTCTCTGTTTTAATTTCTGTTAGATTAGTATCCAGTTTTACGTCGGCCATCTGTTCCCGCATACCTGGTCTAACCCCACAACAACGGCAGCTGTGTAGTGAGTCGCCAGATGCTTTGATCGCGTTGGGTGAAGGTCATCAGATGGGATCGCATGAGTGCCAGCACCAGTTCCGCGGACATCGTTGGAATTGCTCACAAGTCTGGCAGGAAGGTGTTTTTGGACACGTCATGTTTGTCGGTAAAAACTAGATACAACACACCTAAAAGATGTATGAAAGACATTTTCAAACTGCCATGTTATTTACTTACAGGTTCACGCGAAGCGGCCTTTACTTATGCCATCGCCAGCGCCGGAGCGGCGCACTCTGTGACGGCAGCCTGCGCGCGTGGAAATATATCTTTGTGCGGCTGCGACATGCGCCACAAACCCAACAGTGACTCGCAGTCTTGGAAGTGGGGCGGCTGTTCGGCCGATATCAATTTTGGCATGAAGTTCACACGCAAGTTTCTTGACGCACGCGAAATCGAAGGCGACGCACGCACGCTGATGAATCTGCATAACAATCGCGTTGGTCGAAGGGTGAGTACTTCAGCACTTCGAAGCTACGTTCTAACTCTAAATTTTCTTCTTTTTTCTAATTTTCTTATTCAGCTAGTTAAGAATCTGCTAAAAACGGAGTGCAAATGTCATGGCGTGAGTGGTTCGTGTGAGATGAAGACGTGTTGGAAGAGTCTGCCACCTTTCCGTCAGATCGGCGAGGTGCTTATGCGGAAATACAAAAGAGCAAAACATGTGCACGTTAAAGACGTAAATGGACTGAAACAAGTATTAAGGGAGTAAGTGACCGCTCATTTTAAGAATCACCTGTGACTTGATTGTTATTCGCCTTTTAGGAGGAATAGCAGCCGTGAACTAAAGCGTATGGAGCTGGTCTATCTCCAAAAGTCGCCAGATTATTGCGAGCGCAACGTGCAACAAGGCATACTCGGCACGACTGGTCGTGCTTGCAATCGTACCTCGAGTGGAACTGAAAGCTGTGATAAATTGTGCTGTGGGCGTGGCTATAATACGCGTCAAGTACGACGAAGAGCACAGTGTCGTTGTAAGTTCCGTTGGTGCTGCGATGTCACCTGTGACGTGTGCGAGGAAAATTACGAGGAGTTCACGTGTAAATAAACGGTTAATATATATACCATTTTAGGCTATGTTTTATAAAAATATCAGAAAAAACAATTACATTGTTAGCTAATTATTTGTTCTTTGTAAGATATTCTCTGCGTGTATATTATAGACATAAGTTTATTAGTTCTTAGAAGTGTTAAGTAAGAATTTAGGTGTAAAAATAGGTTTATTCTCTCAATTTTGTTAAGCTTATTTATTTATGATTTTTTTAATGGAAATATATGTATCCAAACTTTATATTTCATCCCGAATAAAAACAAAATCGAAAGATATCTAAGGATTATACCTAGTTTAATTGCTTTAGCAGTTTTGCCCGTGAAACCCCATACTTTTTAGCCGAGGAACTGAAGGAAATACCAATTTATTTTGATAATAGCTTTACGTTTTACCATCCGTTTTCTTTTTGTACTGTCGAGACTAAATTTGATATAATATTGTGTATATGAGGTCTAGGTCGATACTAATCATTGTATGGGACATATTCGCGCTAGGGGAAGGTGTGGACTGATTGCAATGACTACTCGCACTACTATACTATTATACTCTAAAACATGATTCCACGTAATATTGGAAAGATAACTCACATACTGATACATATATACATATACATAGGACGAAAATCATTATAAGTAGTTTATAGAAGTTAAGGTAGTACCGAGCCGATTTGATCTATTAACTACTACGAGTATCATGTCACATCGTAAAAAAAAAATGCTTACTGGGTTTCAATAAAGTATCTCACTTACAGTCACCAATCATGTCAGATAACTCACATACTTGCCGATATATGCGGTACAAAGTCATCTGGAAGCTCGAAATCCTTGTATAAGGTATCTGGGGCTCAGGGAAGTATAGACCCGATTCAAGCCATTTTTTATACATAGTATTAGTATAGGCAGGAAAGGATTCTGTCTGAATTTATATTGCATATCTGACACATTGACCGATATTATCAGTCAAAAGTCAACTATAGATATAGGGGTCCACATATTCTGTACCTAGGGTCTTGAACAGTTCTTGTGGTATTTGGAATACATTTTTATTATGTATTTTTGGTTAAAATGTCTCAAACAATTATCGGAAACATTACTGCAAAATTTTATTCCGTATATGTATTAATTACATTTTGATTTATGTACTGGAAAGTGAAAGAATCAAATGGAATTTTAAATTGTATTATGTGGGAAATAAACGTGGTTGTAGTCGGATTTTGTAGTGTAATATAGGAATATGAGAAAAATGCTACTTACTGCATGTTTTCAAAATCGGTCGGTCGAATCCCGAGATATGGGATTTCAACAAAAATTGGGCGGCACCAAGTCTATAGTCCAATTTTCATACCGGCCCTCATAAAGCCATCTCATACCCTGTTGGAAGTAAAATTTAATGTCTCTGGCGTAATTTGTAACTGATTTATACTGTACCGTTATATGGAGAGTGAGCGGGATTATCTTCCGATTTAACTCATTTTCCCACTTTCGGTAGGAGTTCTTACATCATTTGAGCTGAGCAATTTTGGTTTTAGTGGTTAAGGAGATACTATATGTACATTAAAGAGCTGGACCACGCCCACTTTTTTTGAAATTTTTTGCCCACAGATGACTTTTGCCACTGTGATTCTCTATGCCAAATTATATAATATAGTGCTTAGTTATGGCACTTTATAGGTTTTCGTTTAATGGCGTTTTGTGGGCGTGGCAGTTTTCCGATTACGCTCATGTATTTTACGCTCGGATTTTGTTTGTACTAAGGAGCTTGAATATCTCTATTTATTACGCTAGTTAGAGTGCGCACGAACGGCAGACAAACAGACAGCGGGATTTACACGTAGAGCATTTCAAGATGAGATGGATCCAACAAAAGTTCTTCACCCACGAAGCACTTCCAAGCAATTGATAGGAGAGTATGCGTGTTGTTGTTCGATTACACCAATTACTGTACTACTGTAGTTTAAGAGTGTCGGCATAATGTTACGTATTGTGAAACACGAAGAACTTGATTAGTATCCGTATATTGTAAATATGATTGTTCTCTAGTTCAGATATTGAGGTATGTGTTTCGAGTCGAATTAAATTCCTTTTTACAGAACGATTTCACTTTTATTGAGGACTGGAAACTATTCTTAAAACCTGTGGCCAGAAAACTGTACGAAGTAGCTTGAAATATTTTATAGTGATTATTTTGCAATGGTGTGCAATGCTACATCGAGAGGCTTCTAATAAGGTAAAGCCAATGTTGGCTCCTCCCCCGGTTAGATTTACTGATATTAGTTATCAGTATAAAGTTTATTAAACACGTACCTCTTCCGCGCCCTCACACAGCTCTTGCAGCTTCGCAACTATTTCCAGCAAACACTATCGAATGTTAGGATATGCGTTTCTACACTTCGTCTTGCGAATGGCTTCGTAACTCAAGCCATGTTTTCCTACACCTTCTTCGTCCCGTTGTATTTGCAGGTAAATTGTTCCCGAAATTTTCCTTATTAACATACTTGTTGATTTCATCTCCAGGGAACCTCTATACCTAGCATTATTAGTGGCAGAAGTAGATATATGGAATAATGATTATATACTCCAGTCTTAGGTAGAAGCCTCCCCATTTGATGTTGACTTTGATATACAAGTAAATAGAATATATGGAACATGAAGCAAAATGTTTTAATGAAACTAGATAATGTAAGGTCTATAGTATAAGATACCAATTTTGATTATAATACATTCATAATTTCGTAGAATGGCAAATATTGGACATCAGGCTTTGCTTTTTGAAAATTGCTTGGTTACACATGATATTAGCCCTTCTTTATTTGTTTAGAAAAATTGCAGACGAAATTTAAAACTTTGAACTGATTCGTTCCTTAGATTTAGAATTACCCAATAGACGTTGTTGCCAGCATGAAATTTGCCTTCGTTTTCCAGTGGAAAGGTACACAAGCTATTTCTTTCATATTGCAACTATTTGCTATTTGGAATTCGTTGTGCTTTTGCTTTTCTTTGGTCTTTCATTTCTAATGGAATTTCCATACTATTTACAACAAAATACCATCACACAACCCCGCGCGCCTCACAAGACTGCTGACAAAAGCGCGCAATGTGAGTGGATGCTCTAAGCAAATTGGAGAGAGAGAGAGAGTGTGAGTCAATTCTTTACATTGCTTTGCTTTGCGTTATGCTTCGGTGTGAGAGCTCGCAAGCGCCTGATGTCCTGCGGCAGTACGATGGCGCCACATTTCATTGATTACAAGTGCCACTACCAACGAAGCGAAGCGCATGGGAGACGGCCGACACAATCGTATGCGCTGTGTGTTGAGTGCGAGCATAATTTCGGTTAGCTCTCCTCCAAACGAACTGTTGGCCAGCGGGTTGAGGGCGGCAATACATGTGTTGTAGGTGTGCAAGCGAATGTTGTTGCAACCAACTGATTTGGTATCGATGTGTTTGACTCAGACGAGCGTGCTCCAAACGCGAGTGCGCGCCATGCACGAAGTAGAAAGTTTTGCTCAATACAAATTTGCTTTCACTAAATGGGCTTTTCACGACGCCTCGTGATACACTAACTACGAACGGCAGCGACGACCGATAGCGGCGACGACGTTTCAGCACTTTTGGGTATAACAGGAGCAGTTCATCGAATTGGCGTTCAGTTCTTAAGGGTAGTTAGTTGGAAAACGGCGTCAAATCGGGCTAACGGTGCCGCACAATTAGGTTGATAGCACATTTTTTTGTATTATACCAAAACTAGTGGTGCAGAAGACGGGCACAGTGCAGAGGGCCACCAGCAAGCTGAAAAATGTATATATAAATCGGTAGTAGTTGCTGAAAAAGTGTATACCGCAGTGTAGGAAGTATTAAAAATTCACGTAAATTTTGTGTTCAAATGTGGAAAATTCCAAATATCGCAGTCTAGCTACAAATCGAATGCATTGTGCAACCCACCAAAAATTATACAAAAGGTATATCAGCATTAATTAATTATACAAAACGGATACACATCCAAATACATATACGGAAAACGAAACGAAACGAAGAAGTGAAAAAAAAACCACAAGTGTTAAAAGCAAGTTTTAACTAAAATTTTCTACCGAAAACCAAGTAAATCTTGAAAAAATAAGAAAAAACGAAGAAAAAGTATGAACGAGAAAAATTTGTTGGGTATAACAGAGAAGACAGTGTAATGACCAAGCAAGTGATGTGAAAACTACAGTGGAGTGCGAAAGCGCAGCAAAGTGGCAGGAGGGAGTTTTCTGGGTACAGAAAAGCAAGTGCGATTCAGCGAGAAGTGATGGTGAAAAATGCATTACTCCAACAAAAGCAACACACACGCACGCACACATGCAACGAAATATGCGTGCAAAGCTATTTGCCTAACTTGAGTCATGACTGGTATGCGCCTAAAAATAGATATCCCGAAAACCGAAACGGTAACAAACGGTACAGAAAAAATACGAGAAAAAACATAAAATTCCGCAAGTAATTTCATTAAACTTCTTAAAGCGAGCAGCGATATACTATGTCAAGCTAACGATTAAAGCCCAAAAGTCAGGGCGTAGCAAACTGTGCTAGTATGTTAAGAAATACACACACGCACACACATAGGCGCTCCACACACATGTGCACACTGGCATTCGGCGAATTTCATTAAATGCGTGTGCATGCATAATTTTAGGCGTTCGAGCACAAAACACGGTGAGCGAGCGAGCGTGAAGCCAACGTCAAAGTAACATTACTTGTGCACTAAGCCACTAGGCTTCTGGTTGCGCGACGAAACGACAGAGGGGACATTACAACACACTTCATTCACTTAGCAGAGGGGATGGGGGCGGTGTTGAGGCCCAGTGTGGGGCGCAGACGAAGTAGGGACAGTGTGGCGCAGGTTCATTGCATTAACCCACTGGAGCGTGGAGGTGTGATGCTTATCGATTGAAGGCAAACAGAATTTTATTATAAATTACATCAACCTACATCTGACACAATACCCGCTGCCTTACTCACATACATATACCAGCGCAAACTCACACACACACACACACAAGCACAGGCACACATGTAATTACTCTACATTTATGTACACATAGAAAACGGTGCAAAGTGTAGGAGAGTTATAAAAATAAAACCGTTTGGGTATCAGTGTATTCACACGAGAGCAACTATTGCCTCGGAGTCACGCAAACAAACACACACACACACACGCACATATAACTAAGCTGACAGCGCGCAGTAATACGTTCGTGTATCTATGCATAATTTTAGCGGCTACAGAGTAACCACTAAATACCTGCTTACTCGTCAAACACAACGAACACCAACAACAACGAGGCGCACATACATACATAGCGACAGCGTAAGGAGTTTGGCATGCGCAGCGCAGCGGCACTCCGAACGGAGCTGAGTATCGCTAGAAGGAGCGCAAAACGAAGTAGAGCACATAGAGTGGAGTGGAGTTGCGGTGAGTTGAGTGGATTTTTTGCGTGCTCAATAAGGGCGCACAGCACAGAGTGGAGCGTCGCTGCTCGTTAGCGCTACTGCTTTCGGCTCAACCAGACACCAAAACTTTTTCTCCCGCTCAGTTGTGCGTGTTTGGCGCGAAGGCATTAGTTGGCTGTGTCACTTTTCAATAACTGGATTCCTACTACCGTAATAGCGGTATATAGGCTTGACTGCTAAATGCTACTATTTGCCGGAGACTATGTTGTTGGTGGCAACCAAATACTTGGTTATTATTATTTTCGAAAGAGGAATCGGTCGCATTTACGTAGTGCGATTACGCCTTTGATTAGTCATTTTGAGCATTCGATATGAGCAACTCGCTGATTGTTGTGAAATGGCGGTGATTTCATCTCTATTGTGTCATCAGCAATGAACTTAGATTGTCCGATTGGACAAATCCCATTACATCACATTCGGAAAACACATTCCGGGCACCTGGTTCAAATGCTGACTGCGGCAGATTCTTCAATAATAAGAAAATATATACCTTTTGTTGAATGAAAACCATCACTCTGTTTTTCAGAACATATATATGACACGAAAATATTGTCTGGTGCTCGATCAAGAGTTCGGAGATTTCTGAAACCTTGGAAGAACTGCTAAAAACTTTAGTCTGGAGACTAAAATTAATAATGAACGCCTAAAATATGTAGAGACATCTGCAAGTAATTCAACCTCGCTAAGGCTATAGATGACATACATAATGACAAATAAGAAGTTGGTGAAAATGATGATTCAACAACTTATATATTATGATCCAATCCCAAATGCAGATTAGCTCCAACTATTCTACACTGCCAACAATAGTTGAACCACCAGAGATCCTTCAGCATTAATCTAGACGTTAGTACTCAATGATTCTCTTTTATGGCTCAAATGGTTTGTACTTGTGACTAAAGGCATTTCCGTTTTATTGTGGTTTACAGTTCGAGCAAAGTTTTTCAACTTAGCGACCAGGTTTACTACTAGATAGCAGTATTCAATCCCAACATGAGCTTATAAGAAAGTGTCTTAGAAATTAGTGAACCGCCATTGCCATTCTCTAAAACTGAACGTCATTTTATCTCCAGTTCCAACAGATTGTCTTCAAATACAAAAATCGTTTAAGACAAAGAATAAAATAAGAATCCCACCACTAATCTGCTAACGTAATTTCCGTTTAAACAAGTGAAGAGTTTCTATTTCCATAAGCTTGTCAAACAATTCGATTTATAATTTGGATGACACTTTCGAGCATTTCGACTGGTAACTGGCGAATGACACCTTTGATGTTTTGCTCCAAGGCCTGAAGTGATTGATTGTCCGTATATACTTTAGACATGCTTTTAGTTTATGTCATCTTGATTATGAGCTTCAATTTCAGTCATCAAATAGTTAGTTATCTGGTCATGTTGACGGTCGTCATTGACGGTTACAATTCTCAACTATGGATCGCTGATTCCACCGGCCCACAAACCACACCAAATGAATGATTTTTCTGAATGAAATGACAGCTCTTGAATCTCTTCCGGTTGCTCTTCGTCCTAAATGCGGCAATTTTGCTTGTTTACAAACCCATTGCGCCAGAAATAGTCCTCATAGCAGGGAAAATTTTGCTTCGAAAGCGTTGGAACTTCTTGGAACATTTCGAGAGCCCATAGAGCGAATCGATGTTCCTTAGAAAAGTAGTTCAGTTCTTCAGTTGATCTGTACTTTGTATGCTTTCAATTTAAGATCTCGACAAAAAAATGCGCCAAGTCGTTCCATACGTCAGTCCGAGATACTGCGAACAGTGCCGAATCGACTTTCGACAGTCTACGTGTACAGTCTCAGCTACGGATGCTATATTTTCTTCACTCCGTGCTGGACGTGATCGATAACAGTCGAATAACGAATAGAGAGATGGGTCTCAAGACTACTTTTTTTGCGAAAAGTATGCTCCCTAGGCCGATTATGTTGGCCATAAGTTCAGCGAAGTGCGCAAAACACATTCTTTACAGACCGTTATTTTTCCGGGGACCGTTATTTCTTCCGTTCGTGCACAAGCTGTAATTTGTGCGCTTTCAATTTAATATTTCGACTTCAAATGCGACAAGTCGTTCCATACGTCAATCCATTTTGATGCGAATGGCACCGGATCGACTCTCCATCGACTTCGTGTACACTCTCAGCTGCGGCTGCTATATTTTATTCACGGCATGTAGGACGTGCTCTATTTGGCCGAATAATATCCAGCAATGAATGCTGGGTCTCAAGACGGGTGATGGTGTTGCGAAAAGTATGCTCACTAGGCCGATTATGTTCTTTACAGACCGTTATTTTTCCTGATAAAATTGGACGATATGAGGCATAAGTCTTTCCATGATAAAACGCCAAAGAATTCTGAATTAAGATAACATGACAGATTGACACGACTCACGCGTGAACTGTCAAAAAAGGCTATTGGAAAAGTACCTCTACTTAGATCACCCGTTATATACCATATATAAATGATATATTCAACAGCTTGTACGCAAAATAGTTTCTGTATATGACGACATGTCTTCATGAAATGTGGCATGAGTTATTATCAATGACAACAATACCCTATACGAGGAAATTGTTTATATTGAGTTATTATAGTATATAGACCTCATACAAACTGACCGAATAAAGTTCTCGTAAGCAATCTTTATTGCTTTTTAATACCGTGTCTGTCAAATATTGTTTATTTTAATAAAATAATTATATGGGTTCATTGAAAAGGGTGGAGCTCAGTCGATCAATAATTAATATTGAGTTTCAAGGGAATAAATTTACCAGAGACAACAAGAGCGCAGGGGATGGGGCTCAGAGTTACATGAATATGGCACGCTCATCATCTTGAATGTATGAATTGTGTAGTATAGTACCGTCTAAAAATGTACAAAAAAATAAATTAATTACAAAGAGAAAAAGAACGAGCGGGAAAATCAATATGACTACCCGAAACACAGTGACTTTTAGATAAGATTTTAGGGATAAGTTGAATTTGTAAATATCCACTGGCACAATTTATATATAATTTAATCATATCAAAAATACCAATATTAATAACGGTACTTTTGTATAGACGGTGAAATCACATAATTGAAACGGCCATTGAAAACAATGTCGAAGCTCTTGGTGTTAAATACTAAATAACGGAGTAACGAAAAAAATGTGAAATGACGTTAACAACTCAAAAAGTAACCTCTAATAAAGTTACGAACTAAAGCTTAATATATTACAATAAATCTCACTTGGAACCGCATTAACGGTCCGAAAATCATACACATTTCTATTTGGTGAATGGTTCATAGAAGGTTACAATACTGAAGAACCTTTCTGCACCAGCGCCAATAGTAGTAGTGTATGAAACCAAATAAAAATTGCTACACCAAAATGTGTTTTTTACTAAAACATCTTAGATTTTAAGAGTTCTCTAATAGCTAAATAAAAAAAAAAATATTAAACGTGATCCTTTCCCCTTCACTTACATAACGCGCAACGCAAACGCCATGTTGAATGTGCAATAAAATTTGTCGAAAATGTCAACAACCCCAGCAGCGTTATGTAAATAAATCGCTAGGTGCTAAACGTATATAAATCATATGCCAAGAAATCATCAGCGCGACAGCGCCAAAGGCGACGAAAGCGACAGCGACACTCATCATACCAGCCGACTTAATAGCCAAGTAACAACTAAAACAATCAGCAAAGCGACGTTTGGGTCGACAGCCAATTGACCGGGCAATCAAACGACAAACAACAAGCAACAAGCAACAAGCGCAGTGTTAAACACTCTTCTGGGCAACAACGCCTAAAAGTATACTATCAAAGCCACGCAAAAGTCAACCGAATACACCCACAAGGCACTAGGTGTCATTAATGCAAAAATAGCAACAACCGAGGGCGAATAAAATTTGATTGCCTGCTGGAGACGACGCGACCATCCGACAACGGAACGCAAATCGCGGACCGACACAGGCAGAAGGCAGCGGCGAAGTCGAAGGCGACAGCAACAACGGGCAATAAGACACTCTTTAGCCCGCGCAGTTCAGGCGTAGCTGAGGTGAGCCGTGTAGGCGGTTAATTGGGAATTTTCTTCTGCTAACGGTTGTTTCGAGAAAGCAGTCAAAATTCACCGGCTAAGCAAGAGTGGTAAGTTGAGCGCCAGTGGAGCTCCTTTATCTACCAACATGTGTTTGTTTGTATGTATATGTAAGTGCATATGCATACGGTGTGTCTCGAATTACATGCATTTATGCAGGTTAAATTGCCGGCAAAAGCCAAATTGATTTCGCAAAACTTGGCAAATGCGACATTTCTATGCAAATTTATTCATTCACATCCAATTCGCATACCTTTCGATGTAAATATGTATGTGTGTATGTACATGTGCATATCATACGTTAATGTACGTATATTATATGTGTGTATGTATGTAAACGTCGACTTGTGTAACTGTGTGTGTGTGTGTGTGTGGCATATCTACTGAGTCGCCATGCAAGTGCTTAAGTAGTTTGCTCGCTTGGAAGGACCAATATAAATGATAATTCCCTGCAACATCGCGTCGCTTCGAGCATAAGGTCGAACATAAGCACAGCTAAATTATTCGAATTCCAAACAGAGCATATGCTCGGTTGCCTTCATATTTATGTGGCAGGAAATGAAAAAAATATTTCAGCTGTGGCTTTCTCAGTAGGCAGTGAGAGAACTTCAGGTGTAAATGGTTCCAAGCAGAAGTTTTTTAATTAATTTCTGTTAAAAAGTTCCTAAATGAAGTTTCTGTTTATGTACATATTCAATATAGCTATTTTTAACGGGGACTTTCATTTATTTTTGAATGTGTGTAATGAAATAATGTTTTAATGGATTTGGAAGTAATGAACATATTACTGGACAAAATTTCCAATTAAAAAGTTCTCTGAGGTGTGGCGTTAGCTCTAGAGAATCACGCAATCATAATATTAGGAAATTGAAAACAAGCTTGGCGTGGAGCTACCTTTCCTTTGTTTAAAATTAAAAATAAAAAACAAGCTTTCTGACTTTATAGATTAGATTAGGTCCGGGTATATGTAGTTAATATAGTTTTTCATCATTTCCAACAAAAACAAAAATTTTCAAAATTTTAAACAAAACTTTAACATTTGTCAGAGAGCATATACAGCCGTTAACAGCTAATTAGAAGCAACATCTATTGTGAAATAAATGATGTTATTTTCCAATAAATCACGTATGTATATTAGGTTGTCAAATAGCTCCCTTCCGTTTTTTTTCTCGTTATTCAATGCTCTATAAAAAGTGTTATAGTGATCGGATTTAGTTGAAATATGCGCAGTTTCGTTCAATAATCTGCTTCCGACTAAACGGCAACTTCATAATACCGCCCTCCTTATTTGCAAAGAACTCGGACAGCCACTTTTCCCAGCCCTAATTTGAGTTCAACAAGGGAGTTCGCCATGGACAGGAACAGGTGGTAATCACTTGGCGCCATGTCCGGGCTATATGGTGGATGCGATGAAAACTTCCATCCGAACTCCCGTAGCTTCTGAAAAGTCATCAGCGAAGAGTGTGGTCACTACACCCTTCCTGTTGGAGAATTCTGGATGCTTCTGGTCGATCCCTGCTTCAAGCGGTCCAGTTGTTCACAGTAGATGGTAGAATTAAGCGTCGGGCTATGGGAGTAGCTCATAGTGAATGATTCCCTTCCAATCCCACCAAACACATATAGAGTACCATCCCCCAAAACAATATTAATCTCACGGAAAGTTTCTCTATCGGCTTTGCCTTTAACGAAGGAAACTTTAAAATAGCGCGAATTTCGGCGTTGGTGAACTCCATGTTTACACGTCTATAACTGTTGAATGCAATAACCAAACTAATCATGCATAGCGATGTTTTGTGGGTTATGTCAAGACTTTTCAAAGATGTATAGTATTGCCCTGTACGTGCCCTGTAGCGCTTTATACATAGCCGCGAAATTCAAAAGACAAAAGGCGGAAGTGAGATATTTATCAACCTAATATTTATTGTATTTTCACTTATTTTGTTGAAACCTTATGTTGAACTTAAACTCTTACCGAAAAAATTTTGTTTAAAACTCGTTTTTGTTTTGAAGATTTTAACAAAAACATGTGGAATCAACGATTTGATATTACAAAAACTTGCTTATTTTCAGTTAGTGGTTATTATAATACTCTGACAGCGCACCAATGGTGTAGTTTATCATTGCCGTTCTAATTTAATCACAAAGAACATCCATATTTGGGATATTTTTGCTGTATATGGCTCTTTTAAAATCACCCAGAGATGTTCTATAGGGTTTAAGTCTGGGCTGGACGATTCCCACTCCCAGACATTAATAAAATTTTCATTAAAAAACTTTTGTGACCACTTAGATGTATGCTTTGAATTGGAAGATAACTTATAACAGGCAAATTTTCCTCATATAAATGAAATCAATGAAATGGAATAAATGAAATAAAGCATAAAAGCTGCAAAACTATTATGAAAATAA